ACACGGGCGCCGTCACACAGGGGCCTTAAGAGAGGAATAACATTAGAGTGATAGTGGTATCAGGACAGCCGCACCACTTTACGAGGCAATAACCCGCTCCCATCACTGTGAAGAGCTACTTGGTCTCTGACCTCCTTACGGTCTCCTGACAGGGAGCCTGGCTATTGCTGCACAGCGCTGCAATGGGCCCGTTAGCGCTTAATTAAACAGTCAGGAAGGCAGTGGGGTAGAGGTAGGAATGCCAGGGCAGAGGTGCTCCTTTTAACCCCGTACCATGTGCCTGGCCAGCAAGGACGGTCATCAGGAGGGGATCTCCTTGGGAAGGGATACCTTGGTGAGACCATCTCCACCAGAGCTGGGAACGTGCTTGCACGGGACGTGTCAGACACCAGCCAAGTGACTTTCCTGCACTGTGGTTTCTTTTTTAAACCGACCACAGTCAGATGCGAGGTGAAGCTCCTGCCCTTCAAGGAGCCCATCTGCCCATACCAGCCCCTTGGCTCTCCTCCCCACCACCGACAGGCTGCTGGCACCCACTGCCCAGCCAGCCACCAGCCCCAGCATAGCTGGGGTCTGCCCTGCCTGCATGTCGGCACCATGGAGGTACCGGGTCTCCGTGGGCACATGCTGCCCAGCGAGGACACCCCCATTGGGTGACTCAGGGAAGGGTGGCATTGCCCACCCACTGCCAGCTGAGGGTTGCAGGACTGAGATGGGTTATAGCTGCACCTGTGGAGTTTGGCAGGGCTGCAAAGACTCCTGCAGCGAGCATTTCAGGGAACACCGTCTCCCCTGGGATCACACGTGTGTCCGCCTGGGCTCTGGCCCATGCAACACCCGCCGCTTATTCGCTTATGCGAATTAGCAGCCACTTAAGAGGCACCACATACAGCAAGAGATGGCCAAGGAAATCGCTGCAGAAAGTAACTGCAGGATCTTGGAGGTGCTCTGGGGACCTCTAGGTAAGTGCAGCAATCACACTGGGCACCACACCCCGGTGCTAATGAACTTGCACACAACCCGTATGCGCCTCTGCACCTGCACGCTCTTGTCCACCACACGCGGAGATGGGCCCAGCGAGCTTTGTACAGTGAGCTCTTCCACCATGCTGGCCACACGCCCTCCATACCCTTCATCCTGTGGCCGGGCGCTGGTGTAATTAGCAACCCCAGCTGCCAGCCAGCTTTGATGAGAAGCCTCAGTCTTTGGTTGATGTGAAATGTATAATTTGGATGATGGAAATAGCCTCTACAAAGCACATGTGGTTGCTGTGTCCCAGTGACCTCTCCCATCTTGCGCAGGCTGCTCTGCTTTAAACGTGGTTACATCTCCAGCAGCTCTACAAAGGCTTCGGTGCCATCAAACAGGTGACACAGTGGCAGCAACCAAATGAGAGGTAACATTTCACCACTACTAAATAAACTGTATTTTTGGCCAGCAGAGGCTTGGGAGTGCTTCTGGCAGGAGGAGCATGAGGTGGAGATGAGAACTCAGGTGTGGAGACCAAAGACACACAAGATCTCTGCAAGCCATCGTGCCTGGCGGAGCAGGGAGCTCGTGTTAGGCAGAGGCAGCACAGGCTTCTCAACACAGGTCAACAGTTCAAGGTCAACAAGATCTGCAGAGGCTGAAGGTCCCTGCAACTCCTGCCTCTTTCTTCCCAGCACAAACCAAGCTTGCGGGTCTTCTCATGCCACTCTGGATGGGGTGTCCTCCAGCAGACATGGCCAAACAGCTCAGGCTGATGTTTCTCTTGCCAAAGAGATCCGTGAAAACAACAGAGAAACCTTCCCTCCCTCCCAAGCACCTCCTGTAGCAACCAGGTGAAAGCCCCTCTCCTGGCCCTACTCACCAGCCCTAGCAGAGCGTGAAGCCCACTCTCCTGAGCAAGTGGGATCCTGTCCCTTTTGGGTCCATCCCCACAGCAGGAACAACGTCTCCCTTGAGGAGCCACGTTGTGGAAGGTACTGTCACCCTGGAGACGGTTTCATCTGCCTGGATCGCACCAGACCACAAGCAAAAGGGTCAGGACCAGAAGTTCAGCGTGTGTCCAGGCTCACACACCCCCCACCCGTGGTTCTGCTGCATATGAAGTGACGGAGCAGCCACCGCCACTGTCACACTGCTCTCTCCTCTGCACATCCCCAAGCTCCTGTTGGCATCCCCACCACACAGGCTGTCAAGGACGTGCCAGGTCATGGTTGGCTTGGTTAAGTAGGTATGACTCAATAGCGTAACTCCCATGACCATGAGAAGTACAGCCCCATTAAAGCAAAGTGATGTTTCAGCAGAGTTAAGCTCCTGCCCTGTCCACCCCAGGCATTGTCCCCACCCGACACTGGACAGCCAGCCCTCAGTCCCCACCGCAGGAAGCCCAGCAGCCCGTACGTCTTGGAAAATTATCTATTTCCGCAAATACACAGAGCAGGGGGGTTCAGAGGACAGATTCAGCAGAGTTTGGCCCTCAAGGGCCAGCTGACCAAGCCTTCAGATGGTAAGTGCAGTCCAAAGGGATGCTCAACACCTCCCAAGGTCAAGGTCAGCCCTGTGGCCCTGAAGCAGGCCCTGACGCAGGCAGGGGCTAGGCAACCACCCCCAAAACCAAAGCAGATGTTGGGGGCACTTCCGCAACCCATGGTCTTCCTCAGCGCGTGCACAAGTCCCTGTCCTGCAGGCAGGATCTCCGGTACTCCAGCAACTGCCACAAACCAGGAGTCACCCCCACGTGGGCCAGTCCTGCACCCTCAGGGAAGCTGCAAGAATTTCTCTTGGGGGTGCTGAGGAAACAGCAGAGCGTCACAGGGGGACACTGCGATCCCCCCAGGCATGCCAACACCAGCGGGTGGAGATCTGTTAGTCCCATAAGTGACAAATCCTCCTGCAACCCTGCCCTGCTCCCATGGCATCTGGTGTTAGCCTGGCATTAGGGCTGAGGACGGATGTCCATGAGCCCAGCTGCAGGACTACCAGAGCAGCCTGAGCCCCCGCAGCCCCTTTGCGAGGCCGACCTCACATGTCCAGCCTGCTCATCCTCACGGTCTGCCTCCCCACACCTTGAGCTCACTCTGTGGCTTTCCACAAGCTGCTTGCACAGCCCCAGCGAGCCCCAGGATGCTCCAGCAGCTGGGGCAGACCCCTGCCAGGGAGAGGATTGGGCAGGGTGCACACCACCGCTGCTGTTCCCGTGGCTGGGGGGGGGACGGCCAGGGGGCCGAGGGTGATTGTCTGGGAGGCTCCATGCCTGTGTGCCGGCACGCGTCAGTGCACGTTGTGCCTGCACTGGAGCAGGGGCTGTGACACCCTGAAGGCTCCTGGCTCCTGGGTGTGCAGCAGGGAACTGGACTGAGCGCACGGCCAGGGGGCCGAGGGTGATTGTCTGGGAGGCTCCATGCCTGTGTGCCGGCACGCGTCAGTGCACGTTGTGCCAGAGCCCTGCACTGGAGCAGGGGCTGTGACACCCTGAAGGCTCCTGGAGTCAGGGTGTGCAGCAGGGAACTGGACTGAGCAAGCACAGCTTTACAGGCGCCTGACTTTGGCACGTACTCCAGCTCACTCCACCTCTCCAAACCTCCCCCACAGCCCCCAGCTGGGTTGAATCTCTCCCCTTTCTCCCCACAGCAGAGCTCTGCTCACAATGCAACTAGGAGAAGGCACCTCAAGCCAGCTCGCCAAGCACCGGAAAAACTCCTGCCTCCCTAAAAGGGGGTCCCAGGTGGGGAACTTGAAGGGACTGGACACACCAGGGCTCCCAGCCCTGCCTGTACCGCTGCTACCCCCCACCACCAGCCACCAGGGCTTTAAACCCAGCTAGCTTGGGCACCCGGAGCACTGTGATGGCTATGCAGAAGGTGTGCCACCTTCTCATTCCAGTTTGCCAGACCAAGCAGAGCTCTTTGGAGCTGCAAGCCCCCTGCAGTCCTTGCCCAGCCGAGCCCACGGGCGCAGCCAGTTGGGACGCAGGCTTCAGCGGGAAGCGGAGGGCTCCTGAGGCTGCCGCGGTTTCCTAAAGATCAGCACACGGCCATGAGGGAAACGTGAGGGCTGGGCACGCCTGTACTGAGACCCAGCGCCGTGGCCCACGAGGGGGGTAGTGGGTCCCCGAGATCAGAGGCACAGCTGACGCCAGGGGCCCCACGCCAGTTGCTCTGATGAAAACCCACCACGCACACAACAAGCTCTCGACCGCACAGGCTCAGGGATCAAACCCGCCGGGATAGTAAGACGCAGGCGGCCACGCGCTGAAACCGGCTCACATGAACCCTGTGGCAGCATCCTTGGAGGGCCCTCCTCGGCCAGAGCCCAAGACCTTGGACAAGCTCTGGATTTGAAGCCTCCTGCCCAAAGCGCAGGCAGCGGCGCTGACCCTACGCATGGCACCTCCACTGGCAGCCTCCCAGTGAGAGCGGCCAAGGTCAACCCCTGGGGTGAGCCACCCCAACGGCAGGGAGCGGCTGCGGCACCTGGCCGGGTAACCTCCATCATCTTTGGCAGGGTGTAGAGACAAGGGGTGACCAAAAAGACACGTGGGGGAGGACGAGCTCGACCGCCACCTGCCATTGCTCCTCATGAGGAGGCTGGAGCCAAGGCGAGAGGAGGCTGTGTGCCGGCCCTTGGGCTGGCCGATGGCGCCTTCTCCCTCAGCATGGAGCGGCTGCGGCACCTGGCCGGGTAACCTCCATCATCTTTGGCAGGGTGTAGAGACAAGGGGTGACCAAAAAGACACGTGGGGGAGGACGAGCTCGACCGCCACCTGCCATTGCTCCTCATGAGGAGGCTGGAGCCAAGGCGAGAGGAGGCTGTGTGCCGGCCCTTGGGCTGGCCGATGGCGCCTTCTCCCTCAGCATCTCTCCTCCTCCTCCCCAGCACCGGGGACACCAACACGGCCTCCAGCGGGTCCCTCCCAGGGGCGGCAGGAGCCCCCGACGCCTCAGGCAGCCGGAGTCCTGCCATTTCCCCATCCCCTGACAGCGAGGCCGGCGGAGCACAATGGCCGCACTCACCCAGCATCTGGCTGAAGAGGAGCTGCTCCAGGTCACCCAGCACCGTCACCACCAGCTCGGGGTCCACCTTCAGGTAGGGCTTCTCCTCAGCGCCCGCCGCC